TTCTTCTCTCTCTCTCTCTCTTCTTCTTCTCTTCTCTCTGTGTTTGTTTTTTTTTTTTTTTTGTCTCTTCTGTTTTGTGTACCCAGGCAGCCCATTGAGTAACTTCTTTGACGTAATTAAACAACTTTTTTCAGACGAGAAGAACGGGCAGGTGAGCCATCCCCCCGGCACGCCAACCAAGCATAGCGCAAACAGCAAGCGGAGCGATTCCGATGCTAATGACTATGGGTCTAGAGGAGACAATAAGTACCCCGCTGGCAAAGACAAGGCAAAGATGGTCTCATCAGTCGGCCTACAAGACCTACCTTAAATAAATACCTTTAAAAAAATTAAATAACTTAAAAAACAAAAAGCAAGAAAAAATCAAAGAATATTCCTTAGCAAGCTAGCCTCTAAACTAGAAGGATGTATATACCTTTCCACAACAGTACAAAACTGTCTATAGACAAATTTTGTAAGAAGGAATGACTGTATATATATACATATATATATTTATATATGATATATAATATATATCTCAGAAACAAACACACACAAAAAGAAAGAAAGAAAAAGAAAGAAAGAAAGACAAGGTAGCACAGATGACAAAACCCAGTTCACCAGATCTTGGGTTGTGGCTTTTTTGGTTTTGGTTTTTTGTTTTGACATCTCCCTGTATTTTGATTATTATTTTTATTTTTTCCCCTCCTGATGTTTTGTTGGGTTTTTTAAATTATTATTTTTGTTTCTTGTTCTGTTCTTGCTCTCTCTGTTTCTGACGACACCACTTGTTTCCGCTCTGCTACCAGGAATTATCCCGAAAAGTTAACATGTCAGCCACGGCTTCACCTTCTGTGCTCTGCGGACACTTGTTGACGGAAGGAAACCGATGTAGACTGTCCAAGGACCAGTCCTGTTTGAGGTTCCCAGCCTCCCCCTCTGCCCCCAGGAAATGGGTTTCTCCCCCACCTCCTCCCAAACACCTCCCCAACACACACTTTTTCTCTTTTTCTTTTTGGTGCTCCACGAGGGAGATCTGCTCAGTAATGGGATTGCACAACCTGGGCTGGAAGCAGGTTGCAATTGTTGGAGCGACACCATTGTCCTTGACAACATTCGTCTGTGCAGGTGAACTCAGACTGGCAGGGGGAGGGGGCAAGAAACAAGGGGAAATGTAACAATGAAACCAGGGAGCACTCTCAGCCAAAACCACCAAGGAGTGAGTAAAAGCAAAGCATCGAACCAAGACAATATCGGGGAGTTTCACTGTGGGATTTTCTCCAACTCCTTTTTCCTCCTTGTCCCCACCCTTTCCTTTTTCTTTTTTTTTTTTAATTGTGTTTGTTTTTTATACTCTTATCATTTTGCTTTTCGACCTGCTGGAGGGGGAGGGAATCCTCTCGTGGGGGTTGGGGGAATGAACAAACACAAAAACAAACAAACATTCAAACTTAGGGAAAAGGCAACATACGGCAGCAAAAGAGGCGGGAAAGGATTCTGCCTAGCTGAGAACAGTCTCTCTTGCCACCAACTGCCGTTGCCGCTGCTGCTGCTGCTCCTTCTTCATCTTCCTCCCCACTCTTCAACTCCCGCCTACCACACTGCCGTGTTGGGACCTTCTTCCACCATCTGGATCCTCCAACACACCCTGATTTGGATGCAATTGTCGTGTCGCTCGTGCTGCATCAATATCAGTATTATTATTTATTTGTTGGTTTTTATTTATTTATTTATTTGATTTATTGGGTTTTTCAACAAACAGAAGAAGAAGAAAAGAGGGTAATTTTGTTTTTTTTCCATGCGTGTGCATGTGCATACCACTGGCACTTCGTTCATCTGAGTGAGACGAGGAGTCAGTGCTATGGGCAAGTGAATCACGAAGCTACTGTAAACTTTAAAAATTACTGCAAGATATTTTTATAAACCTTTTTTTTTTTTGACAGGGGGCTGGTGGGTGGGAGCGGGTGGGCAAGGATTGTTTTTTGTGTTTAAGTTATTATTAGGTCTTGGTTATTTATATATACATATATATATTTAAAAAATTAAGCTGTTAGATATATCTTCTGTTCATTACTGTGTAGAGGCGACACTGATTCCTATTTATTTTGGGGAGAGGGGGAAAAAAGGTAGAAAAAACCTTAAATGGTCCTCTTGCGAACTTGACATTTGTATTTTATTTTTTTGGTCTTTTTGCCCTGAGAGCTACACGACCAAGTGTAATTTATTCTGGCCCAAGTTCAAAGGTTAAAACAAACAAACACGGTTGTAAACGTCAAAGACAAAAAAACACAATGAGAAACACTTCTTTACTGAGGTTTTAAGAACGTAGGGTTAGCATTAGAGTGCACTTCTCTTATGACCTTCAATTGCTGTTTGTTGAGTTCCTCTGGGTGTATGTTGTACTACAAGAATTTTTTTTTTTAAATGATAACATTGGACAGTTTCTCTCTTTTTGTTGTTGTTGTTGTTGTTGTTTACTTTGTCCCCCCCCCCCTTCGACCGGTTTCACTTGTACATAGGTTTGAAATTTAAAAAAAAATAAGTAAGGCACAATTGGGATGGTAACCTTTAACCCTTGAGCTTTCCTTGTCCCCCAAATGGAAGAGATTTATTTTATTTATTTCTGGGTTGTTTTTAATTTATTATTTTTTCCTATTCTTAAAATTGTATTGCTGTGTGCATGTCAGATGCCGTGGGGGTGATGGCTGGGGATGGGGGGAGGCCAGGGTGCAAGAGGGGGGGCAGTTTTAATTGCATGACATTGCTGTAAATTAGTCTCTTTTGCTTTCGTTGTCTTTCCTGCCTCTGCCCTCTCTCTCTGCCCCTCCTCCAGGATCTCCTGCAACCACCTCCATCCTCTTTTCCCTCTTTTCTCTCTGTGTATAGATTTTTGATGCTTCTGTTACATTGTACCTCTACAAAAGGCTGGGATTTCGATACAAAATAATAATAATAATTTACAAAAAAAAAAAACCTATATCAGCAAAACCCATGCGGTACAAGCAGGAAGGGGATTACTTACACAAGATATAAGAATAAACGAAAGCAATACCTCTTGTTATCCTTCCGATTTTGTACTTTAACGACACACATGCGCGCACACACACACACACTCACAGAAACCAACTGACATTATTTAACAGTTTAAAATGGACAAAAAATCTGATGTATCCCTTGTTAAATAACTGTGAGCAACTTTAGTTCAAAAAACAATAAATTCATTCAGTAAAGACACTAGCTCTTGAGTGTCCTGTTTATGTCTACGGTGGAGAATCCATCCCTCTGCCTGCCAGCACTGGATTCAGGTAAGTACTGTGCAGAGGTCTTTCAAACCTAGACAGAGAAGTGTGGCTTGCACTTATCCAACTCTCCTCCTAATCATGAATTTAAACAGGTTTGTTACAATTTAGTGATTTATGTTTTGCCTGACCAAGCAGAGTCCTGCATCCACCCAGCAGGGCAAGGACAAACAATCAGAGTAGTTGAACCATATGTATCTGTTTCTTATGTTAACACACTTGCGAATGGTGGATATGAATTAGAGACCAGCACAAACCAAAACCCCAATCTTCAGGAGTGTCTGTTCATTCTGGGCACCTCAATTTTTGGCTGGCCATCTCGAGTTACCTAGATCTGAGTTTATCAAAGGTACCAAGCAGTGCACTCACCATTCTCACTGGAGTTTGTCTGGAGTTGTCAGGGCTCAGCATTTCTGAATATCAGGCCAGAAAATAGAGGCACCCAAAATGAATGGACACTATTGAAAATGTTGACCTTTCATGCAATGATCTCAAATCACTTTACCAAGGCGCTGTAGATATCACTATCGCTATGTTAAGGATAGAGAAAATGAGCAGAAATTGTGACATCAGCTATAACACACACTGCAACAGTGGCAGTGGTGAAAATAGGAACCAGGTTTCTTGACTTCCAGTCCATTGGACCCTACTGCTACTTTATTAGGACATCTTCCAGGGAACTAAGTTAGCGTGATGAGAGTTCATAGGGATAACTGCTGTTCAATGGGGCTAGTATTCGTATTCATTCTGCATAAGGGAGATGTATTTGATTGGTGCCATGGGGTTTAGGGGTGTTTAACCAGCTGTTGAATAGGTGTGAAATTCTGCTCTTTACATAAGCAGGTCACCAAAGGAAAAACTGAAAGAAGACTAATGAATATGAAGTGCACTGAATGCCGTTTTTTACCTTTGCATGATTATTGAATATGGTGTTTTGATTCGTTTTCAGGCTTTTCCATGGCCTTTTCATGGGAACAGTCAGTTATCGATATGATGGTAGGCTGCTCCCTGGAAGTCCCAAATAAGGATTTGACGGTCTCCCTACTATGCCAAGTCCTGTGGATTACAGGGCCTCCTGTTCTTCAGTGTCTTTCCTACAGTAGGGACATAAACCACTGGGTATTGCACCTTGAGCTTCGCAGGTCTCTTCAGTGCATTTCATAAGCATCCAACAGCCATGCCAGCAGCGCTGCTGGTAGCAGTTTGTTGCAATGCCTGCAGCAGGTGGATGCTTTGCAGTGGGAAGCAGGAGCTAGTCTGCCTTGGGGACTCGTACTGCACAGCGGCCTCCTGTGTTGCTACTCATGGGTGGCTGGTGAGGTGGCTACAGTACAAAACCCTAACGAGTTTTGCACGGGGGGGGGGGTCTGCCACCCCCAGCCCTGCCACTTCCCCCCCAATTCCTTTAGTTCTTAAACCAACCACCCGCCTGCTCCCCCCAGCAGCACAGTGAGGTGGGCTCGGGCCAGGGGTGGGAGGGAGGAGTTGGCTGGGCCTGCGGTGCGGCGTACACGGAGCAATCACAAGGGGCCTGGAGGGCTACAAGCACTTTCTTGCCTCCCCCAGGCGAGGCACGTGCTCGTGAGCCACCCTCGGCTCCAGGCCACATGGGGCCAGCCCTGGCGTGTGAGCGCAGTGCAGAGCCCTGCCCCCAGCCCAGGACCTGCATGAGGGTGAGTTAGCCTGGGCGTGAAAGGGAGGAGCAGGTAGAGACTGGCGACTGGGGAGGCCAGTGACCTGGTAATGGGGAGGGGGGAGAAGCAAGGGGTGTGTGACCTGCTCAGGAGAGTGGGGACTGAGGAGCTGTGGGGGGGAGGGATTTGGGTGCATAGGTGCTGCTGCACCCCCTTGAAGTGGTTCCCATCATATAGGATTTAGCGTTTGGTTCAATGGCTTTCCACACCCCCGCTATACAAATTGTTCCAGCACCCCTGCACAGGTGGGGGTGGCATGTGACTTGGGGAGCCAGGACCTGATATGGTTGTGGGGGAGGGGCTTTGACTTGGCAAAGAAAACAGGAGTGTGGGGGTGACTGGGACCTGGCAAGGGGGGGAGGGTGGCTGTGACATGCTGAGGAGACTGGGGCTGCAGGGGGAAAACACAGGGGTGCATGTTTGGCCTGTGACTCCACAGCTGAGGGCTGGTGGGGAACAGAACATTGGAGCCACTGGTGTCTCTTCAGGTGGGAAGGGGCAGCATGGAGAAGAGTCGGGGGCAGTGTCCTCACGAGCAGGAGGAGCCGTGGGCAAGGGAAAAGAGTCTCAAGTAGGGGGAGGATGAGTCAGAGCTGCCTTTGAATGAGGGGGGTCATCATGATTTTTTTGGGGGGGGGAGGAGGGGTGGCTAATTGGCAGCCCCAACCCTGCCATTTTTAGGGGCACCAGCTCCCCACTGACATGGTGAACCCAGGCCACCAGGGATGGAGCAGCCAGCAGCTGAACCTGTGGGATGAATCCTTTAATCAACATTAGGCACAGGCCATATGTGTGGCTGGCTGGTTCTTGTTCACATGGTTCATGCTCTGGGCCTATATGGGGTCAGGAAGAAATTTCCCCCAGGTAAGACTTGAAATGAACTTGGGTTTTTGGGGGGGGTTTTGCCTTCCTTTGCAGCGTGTGGGCACAGGTCTCTTGCCAGGATTAAAAGGGTATATTGCACTTAATCATTTCCCTGCCACACATTGCAGGGACCTCCGGCATTGGTGCGCCCAGTCCCTCCTATTCTCTGCCTGTGGCACATACTAGTCTCATCTCCTATGGGCTGTAATACTTTGGTCTAATGTTGGTTGTTGGGTTCGGTGTGCGTGTGCTGGGTGGTGGTGGTGGCCTGTGAGGTACAGGAGACAAGAGTAGATGATCTGGTTCTCCCGTCTCTATGACTCTCAGTGCTAGCCAGGGCACAAGAGGATGCAAAAGGGGGAAGGATAGTTTACATCACTCTCTATTTCCCAAGGTAAATATTGTGTCCGATACCTAGAAAATCCCATGGAGTGGAAAACCATTGTTGTATGTTAATCTTCGTGGTATGGGCTGAGAAGCTAAATCTGCAACAAATTGGTTTACAGAGAGTATGACCTAAAAAAAAGGCAAATGTCAGCACTCGCCTCCAGAGGGTTGTTGGGGAGGGTGAAAATAATGGGGTATGTAAGTCTGCTCAGCCCATTTTGTGCTAAACATGCCAGTTCGACATCCATGTGTCAGTCAGAAGATACCTTGTGCCGGGGCTCTCCAACCTAGTCTTATTGATGGCTACATCTCATGGACCCCACCCCTCATAAAACCATCTTATGGCCATCACAGCTGTTGCTTATTTGGAGAAGTGAGATGAGAAAAGTATTAAGTTAATTGTAACTGTTCTGCTGATGGCTCCAGTCCAAGAGGTGAGTTTTTGCTTTCTCTCCTGCAGAATGAACAGCTAAGCTGGCATCTTTTCCATCTCTCCAGCTGCTTTAACACAGATTCAGACTCAGGAAAGAGCTGCTTGAATATCTGTAGAAGAAGCTGGAAGTGAGGAGTTGTAGCCAGCATCATATGACCTGCCAGCTCTTTGCAGACCACCAGAAAGTATTCTGCACACTAACAGTGGTCCGGAGACCATGGTTTCAGAACCACTGCCACTGCATCTCCTGCAAGGCAATTGCTGTATGAATGGGATGGAGGATTGCATCCATACTGGTAGCAAAAGATATTTCTCAGTCAGAGAGGGTTATGTTACTATAGCAGACACCATCTCCTGAGGTTGTCTTGTTAAAATTTGTAGCACGTGGTATTTTACAAGGAAGATGCTCACATTAAGTCTCTGGAGTGGATAGCATCATAGTTGGGGTGAGACTAACGCTGGTAAGCTATTCAAGCTTTGTGAGGCAGGACAGAGAGAAAATCTTTAAAAGGCGGCACTTTTTGAGGATCGTAGTAATGTCAGTGGAGAAAGGCATCTTCAGAGTGTCATGTTAAAGTCAATAGCAGGCTTAGTTTCCTAGGATGATGTTTTTGTGGTCAGCGGCATCTCTGTGGGGAAGACTTTTGGTGAACATCTACTGCAGAAGGTGGAATGTGTAGACTTCTGCTGCAGATGACATCCCCTGTAGACGTCACACTGTACAGCATCTCCTGGGATGAAGGGTCATCCCAAGGTCATAGCACTTGGTGTTTATGATGATGTCTGATGCTTATGTTCAAACAAAAATATAATCTCAGGAAAAGTCACTGCTGTGTTAGAAAAGGTTTTTGCAGACCTCTCAGGCTGTTAGGGCCCAAAGGTCGGGTGGAATGTGTGACAAAGGCCCAAAACGAGGGTCCCAAAACAATCATTCATGCAGGGAACTTGAATTGTGGAATTCAATCTCTTAGTTTTAATGATGCTTTTTATAACTAATGATGCTTTTCTATAACTTTCTGTAAGTTCATGATTCTGCATTTCTGATCTAAATAATTTTCAGTTATAAAAGTGACAGGAGATGCCAGATTGGTGTGGAGTGTAGATGATTGGTGCCTACAATGAGGGACATTTGAGAAACTTTGATCACATACCTTAAAAAAAAAAAAAAGTTTATTTTCTCTCCTTCTCCCTCCATCCCCAAAACCGTTGTTTGTAAGTTCTTCCATGTGGTTTCTTTATCCTCCCAATACTGATTCATACATAATTACATGCCAAAATGCTACATTAAAAGAAAGCTAAGTTGCCAAGTCAAGCACTCAAACATTAGGAAATGCCTGAAATAGGGTTGCCTGTGCAACCTTACTCAGCCTCCTGGTGGTCATGCATGTCTTTAATTACATAATCACATATAATTTATTTCAATAGGACCCCTGCCTCATTCAGTGCACGGGATGGATGGTGCTCATTAAAAGAGTGGCTATTCAATTTTTCTTTTCTTCCTCCTCATTCAGTGTGTGCCTCCCACACACATACAGTATTTACTGCACACCATTCAAA